CCTTCCTTCCCTCCTTCCTTCCCTCCTTCCTTCTCTCCTTCTCTCCTTCCTTCCTTCCCTCCTTCCTTCCCTCCTTGCTTCCTTCCCTCCTTCCTACCCCCCTTTCTTCTCTCCTTCCTTCCTCCTCTCCTTTCTCTTCTCTCCTTCCCCTTCCTCCCCTTTACCCTTCCCCTCTTCTTCCCATTCCTCCCCTCTGAGGAAAACACTCTTATTGTTAACATAGCTTGGAGAAAACTTTGATGGAGCCAGTAACAAATGTTGACCTCTTGTCTTTTTCAAGGTCACGGCGTTTCACCTGGACTGCCAGCAACATCTGGCCCAGTGGGAGGCCAGGGGGAAGGAGCCCACCATGACGGAGGTCCAGCAGGACACCAAAGACGCCCTCCGGCGAATGTCCGAGGACTTTTCAGAGGAGAAGTTCCAGCAGATGAAGCTCCAAGCGTCCAGCCTGCACAGCGAGAAGGGCCTCTTGATCTGGAGTGACGCCTTGGAAAGGAGCCAAGAAGCCAAGCAGATTCTGGAGGGGCTCCTGATCAGCTTCAAGGAGGAGGCCAAGGGGGTCCCCGCGGGAGACTGTGGGGAGGAGCAAGGCCCTTCTGCTCCTAACTCATCTTCGGCAATCCCAGCTGACGTCCTCAGTGTTGATGAGGCCTTGGAGACCACCAAGGATCAGGAGCCATTCTCTAAAGAAACCGTGGACAGGATTGATGGGGTTCAGCCTTCCTCTCAAAAGGAGTCCTTGCGCATCAGCTCAGACAGGGATGTAAGAGGGAACCAGGAAGCTTCTCCAGGGACAATCTTGGGATTTGGTGGGCTTGACCACCAGCATCAGGGCGAGGAGCCCTCTGGAAGACCTCAGAGGACCTCCTGGCGTTCTTCTCCATTGTGTCCCTCTTCCTCCTCTTCTCCCAAAGCAGAGCCAAAGCCAGGAACTGGGGAGACTCTGCCCCCCACCGGCCACTCCTGTGCCCCTCTGCCGGTGAGAGGTCCGCCGCGCCCCCAGAAGCGAGAGAGAGCCCAATACTTCCAACTCTCCAGGCACGGGAGCTTTTCTTCAGAAGACGCCGATTCTCTGAACTCCTCCGAAGATGCCGCGGACTCCAGCAGCACGTGGTCGGTGGAGTTGCAGGGCCTCCGAGGAGGGGGGGCCCAGGAGAAGGGCCTGGGGATCCTCTACTTGGAGAACCACAGTCCAAGCAGCAACTCAGGTCCGGTCAAACCAGAGACTTGAGGGGGCTGGACTTCTGGGTTATCTCTAGGTGGTCTTCCGGCCAACCGATCTGGTGCTGAAAACATTCCTGGTCCTTTGGGTGCTCCAGTGTCCCAGCTGGGTTTTCTCCCGAAGCCCAATTCTGTTCCTTCACTCTGACAGGACGAGGCACTAGTCTGTATGAAGAGAGCAAACCTCACTCCCATCTAGCACTGATGATGGTACCTTGTCAGGTGATGAAATGTCTGCAAAGAAAACAAGCCAGCTCAGAGAGGATCAAGGGCCTCACAGTCGTTGTCGTCCTTCTCCACCACCCTTCCTTCCTTCCTTCCTTCCTTCCTTCCTTCCTTCCCTCCTCCCCCCTCTGCAAACCTAACTCCTTTCTAGTCCTGATGATGTTCCTTAGTTGGGTCATGAAACATCAGCAAAGAAACAGCCACGCTCAGAGAGCACCAAGGACCCCACAATCATCATCATCATCATCATCATCATCATCATCATCATCATCCTCCTCCTCCTCCTCCTCCTTCTACCTGGCCCATTGACATGACTACTATTACTACTTCTCCTGTCTCTGTCTTCCTCCCTTCTCCTTCCTCCATCTTCCTCCCTTCTCCTTCCTCCATCTTCCTCCCTTCTCCTTCCTCCATCTTCCTCCCTTCTCCTTCCTCCATCTTCCTCCCTTCTCCTTCCTCCATCTTCCTCCCTTCTCCTC